CCCCCTACGACATGTCCATCCTCGGCCTCCTCCAGTGTTGCAGCAATTCAGAAAGCAGAGTTGAGGAACAACGCCTTATCTTCTGCCTGGGCACCCTACAGCCCAGAAGACTCAACAATGAGTTCTCCAATTTCAAATAACCTTCCCACCCATCCCCCAGCTCCCTTTCCAGCCCCACCTCCTCCCTTCCAGCTACCAACCCTATTCATCCCTCCCATTGTCCAACCAGGTCATACCTACTACCAGTGTCTACCTATCACCAACATTCCACTACCCCCTCTCCCCCCCCCCCCCCCCCCCCCCCCCCCCCCTTTTATCTGCAGCTCCCCCTACCTCCACATCCAGTCCTGAAGAAGGGTAATACCCGAAACATTGCCTTCTCCTTTCCTCCAGATGCTGCCTGGCCTGGTGTGATCTTCCAGCCTCCTGCTTATCTACCTTGGAGTCCAGCATCTGCTTTTTTTTTGTTTCTAATGATGTACCTGGTGTTGTTTTTACTCTCCTTTACTCTTTGATTCAGACATGGGTAACATTGTCTTTAGGATGTTTCTCCATGAATGATATCATCCATAGCCTCTTTTGTAATGAAGTTAGAATATAATTTCAAAATAGAAAACATAAGGAAGAATAGTGAGCATGGATTGCAAAGTTAGAAGGCCATGGTTGACAAATATTTGAAGAAGTAACACAAAGGTAGACAAAAAATAATGTGGATCTAATATGTTTGGATTTTCAAAGCATTTTGGACAATGTATAGGTTCAGAACCTTGTGGGGGATAACATTTTAAATACTGTTGTATTATTGAAGAATTCACACTGGTAGGCATCATTGTCTTCTTCACATCCTTGTCACATCTTACCCTCCCATCCAACTTTGTGTCATCTGCAAATTTGAGATATTTTCTCATCCAAATGATGAATATATATTGTGAAAGGCCCTGTAGTACTCTGAGATAATCTTCTTCATTGTCCACTAAGCCAGGAAAACTGATGGGATTGGAAGCCAGTATATTCCCAGGGCCTGATACTCTATATCCAGAGTACTTTAAGAGATGTCCCTGGAAATAATGGATGCATTGGTGCTCATCTTCATGATCCTACCCTGGAACAGTTTCTATAGACTGGTGGGTAGCTAATGTGACCCCTCTATTTAAAAAGGGAGGCAGAGAAAACCTGGAATTACAGACCAGTCAGCCTGATGTCTTTAGTGGGTAAATTACTGGAGTTCATCACCAAAGATTTAACAGCTGAGCCTTGGAAACCAGTGGCAGGATCAGACAAAGTCAGCGTGAATTTCCGAAAGGGAAAACGTGCTTGACACATCCACTGGAATTCTTCAAGGATGTAGTTTGTAGAGTTGGTGAAGGGAAGCCAGTGTATCTGATTTATTTGGAATTTCAGAAGGCTTTTGACAGTCCAGATAGCTCAGCCTTGGAGCAGAGATTATCTCAGCAGGAAACGATTTCTGATTTCAAGTCCCGTTTCTCTGTAGATGGTCACTGAATAAAAATGATCACAAATCGTAAGTAAGTAAGGGATGACCAGGGCTAAGAGTAACACAGATGTGTTCAAGTGCTTCCATAATGGAATAAAGCCTTGGAGCAAACTTCATGTGTGATGAATGACATCTCTATTGGTGTTCTGTACGTTTCCCAATGTGTGCTGAACCATGCAGTTCCAGAGAGCCCCATGTTCAATTCCGAACTGCTGTTAACTTGCTGAATTCAGTATGGATGGCAGCACTTGTAATGCTTTGATTAACCTTAATGCTTGGGCTGAGAAAAAAAACAGCTCAGAATCCCACTCTCGATAGCTGTTCAGTGACAGTTAGTTTTTGTAAAATGTGTTCGTGAAAGACTATTGTTTATTATCCATTCTGAGATTTGTTTGCTGGATGTGGGGTCACTGGTGAGACAATAGCTTATTGTCATTCATGGTCGTCCTTAAGTAGGGTATGGGAAGCTACCATCTTGCCCCTCAGCAGTTTGACTGGTGAAGGCACTCTCAAAAGTAGTAAATTCTAGGACTTTGAACCACTGACAATTTGTGAGTGATGGTGTTTATATGCACCTGCTAGCCTTTAGGTGCCGGAGGAGTTTGAGAGGTGGTATACTATATGGGAGAGAGAAAATGATACTCTGAGTAGTGTACTGGTAATGTCTAGACTGACATGTGATAAATTGTGACTTTGAATATCACAGTTTTGCCAAGTCGAGCCAGGAGGAGGCAATAACTTGAGTCTGATTGGAAAATCTCATGCGAACAACAGAGAACTGAGAGTAAGAGTTTGACTATCTCTGCCCTCCTTAGCACTCATCAGTTACTTTCACCCATTTATGAGGAGGCACAATGTAGTTTGTAAGATGCAGAAATCTGACTTGACCTTATAATGCAACAGAATCTGTTAACTCTCAAAGGAAATGTGCATTTTGAGGCTTTTATTTTTCCATCTGAAGTATAAAATGGCATTGATTCTGCAGAGACTTCTAGGAGGGCAAGTCAAGCAGCTATTCCTTCTTCTGTTACATATATGGGAACTGGATGTTGCCATGACCTTTCCTCCCCAAACAACAAATTGGCAAAGGTCTGGAATTGCATCTTACTGACAAATGGATGGCATTCAGCACTCAACCACTTAGGACGAGAGAGTCAGAGAGAATGCAAGAGAACGAAACAAGGAAGGGTCATCAACACCTCTCTATGCAGTGAAGAGATCTTAGTCATGTTTACTCTGTGCTGAGATCAGAGTTCGGAATCACAGTCCAATATTAAGAAGCTAGTGGTTGGCTCCTCCCACTGGGTTCAGTTGACAAAGAAAATGTGTTAGCCAAAGGTTTGATGATCTTTCAGCACCCTTGCCCCAACACAGTGCAAAATCAATCAAAGTGCGCACTTTGATCACTTTTGACTGGGTGTGCTAACCTGTCCATTGAATATACACAGTATTAAGCTCTGTGATACCACTCCCAGTTTAATAGTCTGGTAACCCACACTGTTTGGCAGGAGTTGTATTGCTCTTGATACATCCTGTTGACATTCACTGCTGAGGTGTGTACACATGAATAACAACCATTTGGCTGTGGACTGAGCTTATGTCCTTCGAGTAGAGGCGTGATCTTATTGAGGCCTTGAAATGATTAACCAATTTGGTAGGCTGGATAGAGATAAACTGTTTTATCTGGTGGGGACGTCCAGAACAAAGGGACATAATCTCAAAATTAAAGGCCACTCAGGAATGATGTCAGGAACCACTTGTTCACATAAAGGGCAGTGGAAATTTGGAACAAAAAGCTGGAAGGCCAGTTGATAATTAAAAGAAACAGATTAATAAATTCTCAGTATTAAGGGATGCATGCGCCACCTGAATTCTCTCTTTATAGAAACTGGACTGAATAAACGCTAGGCCAAGATGAGAAACAGGCTTCATACTAACAAGTGGTTTATTCAAAGATATGCAAACTAACAGTAAATACTTGGTATAGTACAATATGCTTTCCTCTGGCAAAACAGTAGCTTATCTCCCTCAGTATCTCTCTAGGTTTAAGATGGCTAAGATAATTTTTCTCTCGTAACCCTTCAACTTTGAAGTTTGAGATCCTCTGCTTAATTAACAGACATTCAGTAAATCAGAGAGAGAGAGATTGCCTGAAGCCTGATATCTTGGAGATGTAGACAAGGCCCAAAGAACCATTCAATCAATGCATATTTTTAAATGTCATCCATACTTGGCAAATGCTGGCATTTATATATCACCTTTAATGTAAAATACATTGTGTTTCACAAGAGCTTGATTGAGTATTTAGCCAAAGGAGGAGATAATGTTTTAAGGCAGAGTTATATAGATTCTCAAAAAGCAAGGGGTGAAATGTTATCAGGGTAGACAAGAATGTGAACTAATCATATCAACCATGACGTTATTGAATGGCAGAGTGGGTTCAAGGGCCTATCATTTACTCCTGCTTCTAATTTGAATGTGCAAGAGTAAAAGCCTTGCAGTTGTTTAGTGCCTTGGGAAGTCTTTGCAGTCGGTAAAGTATTTTGGAAGTGATTGTTGAAATGCAGGAAGTTTTGGGATGGGTGCCCAAAAGCCTGGAAATCAGTTTATGACTTTAGATGTAAAATAAAGCAAGAGGTTGCTACTGATGCAGAAAAATTGTTTAGGAAAACATTGTGGATTTTGGGATGCAGGCAGCACAACCGCCAATGATAGAAGACTGAAATTTAAGGATATACAACAGGCCATAATTGAAAGAATGCAAAGAATTGATGACACTGAAGCAGTGAAGGGGTCAAATGGGGTAATGGAGCGATAGAACTCATTGTTATCTGCATAAACCTGGAAAGTGGTCCAACATCAGTGGATGCAGTCAAGAAGGTGTGAGATGAAGAGGGACCAAGAGTGGAATCTTTGAGGATTACAAAGATGTCAGTGTGGATGGGAAGAGAAGCCTTGAAGGAAGATACATAGGCTTTATGGCTGTTAAGTACAACAAAGTGCACTATTTAGTTAATTTAGTGAGACTATAATGATAGCTGATGTGAGGAATGAAAATTTCACAGTCTGAATTGGGAAATACCGATTTTATTTAATCTCTAAGCTAATGAGATGTGTTCAATGGGTATTGTAGAGGGACCTTCAGTATAACTGGTAATTTACATGACTGACCATCCGTTGTCCAGACCTTACTTTCTGCATAGAGTGTTTTAACAGTTTGTTCCATGAAAGGTCCATATCATGCACAACCCTCATGGTGAAGAGCACGTGCAAGTAAATTGCTGCCACACACTCTAGAGCAAATATATAAGTACTGTATTCAATATTGTGTTTACTGTGGGCTGCAGAAGAGTGAGGATTGGTAATTTTTGTAATTACTTGGAAGTAGGCAAAAGTAATACAAGAGGCAGCTATTGCAAACGTGCTTTCTACAGATTTGTTTTTCTGAAGACTCTTCATTCTGTTTCCTTCAACTCAACATTTCTTCTATGCTGTTTTGTCACAGATGATCATTGCAAAGTCACCACTTGCTCCGTTTGCTGTGTTTATTTTTACCATTCAGGATGAAGGTCTTGTCCTGCAAGGTAGGAATCTTCGGAGAATTTAAAACTCTTAAACTAGACCGACATGTGAGATTTGAAAAGGGAAACTGTGCTTTCATAATCAATTGAAAAATATTTAGGCAATGTAATTACAAGTAAATATGTAATATACACCTTGCTCTGCTTGAGGCAGTGTTCTCAGACACAAGTGGTAGTAAGTACTGTACGCAGGTTATAATGCTAATAGAATTATTAGCTGATGGGAGCCTCTTGTAATTATATTTGCCTTCGTTTGTGCATCAGTTATAGCAAATACCTGTTTCTGTTTTACAGATCATTCACCAATTTTTGTTGAGTACTCTTGTTGGGCTATATTAGACTGGTGAACAGAAAGGGATTCCTGATGCATTTGTGTTCATGCAGTGCTCCTAGTTCTATAGAAGGTTCAAGAATGTTCTTCCTTGACCAGTTTGGTCTGGTATGATCAGCTGTACAACAGAAGGTGTTGCTAGGATGTTTTAGGCTGAATTCAAAGTCTTGCAAAGTATTCACAGTTTGTGCTTCACACAAACCAATTTACACCTTAATTCATTTTCATTCTGTCAATAAATCCATATATTCTTCTCTTCTTCATGCTCATTTAGCTACTCCTTAAATGTAGCTAATTCACATCAGCAACTTGCTTTTAGCACATTTCATATTCTAACCACACTTCAGGTGAAGAATTTTCTCCTGAAATTCCAACCAGATATTTTAGTAACAAACTTATGATCCACAGGTTTGATCTCGCTGACAACTGCAAGCATTTTGTTTACCCCATCATATTCATGAATACCTGTATTGGGTTTCCTCTTAGACATGTTATGACCAAGGAGTGCACTGTATCTCTAGACCCACTACTCCACATGGGATTGTGTAAAATAAAAATGCTTTTTCCACTTGCGAAGATTAAATATAATATCCGTATAATATAAATGTAATATCTGTATCAGGTTTAAAACAAAAAGATCTACCTACCTGATTTCTTAATAGACACAATTATTGGTTTAGTATAAAACAAAACTTATTTGGTAAAGACGTCAGTAATGATGAAATGTTGGTCCCCTTAAATATCCACAAAACACAGACACAAACACACAAAAGCCCTCTTCAGGAATATAGAAAATGAACAAATTTTTCTGCAGAGATGGGCTTTCTGAAAAATACCCTTTGACCAATGGGTTATTCTTGAAGGCAAAAGGATAAAGTATAGAATGTTCCAGAGTCTATTGTTCTGGTGTGATCAAGTCGCTAATCGTGTATCTTTGTCTAGGATGTCACACAGACACAGACACCACTTGTTTAGGAAATACAGTTTTGGAATGTTTCTGCAATCACTGTTTCAAAGAAACAGGTAGATTTCAGCTGAACTCAACAAGGGGGTTTTCCTATCAGATCAGCTGAGCATCTGTTCTTTGCAAGTTTTCCTCCAACTCAGCTCATTCTTAGCAGGCAGCACAGTGTGGAGCTGGAGGAACACAGCAGGCCAGGCAGCATCAGAGGAGCAGGAAAGTTGACATTTCGGGTCGGGACCCTTCTTCAGAAATGGGGATGGGAAGGGAGCTGGGAAATAAATAGAGAGAGGAGGGGTGGGGCTGTGGAAGTTGGTGGGATGGTGATAGGTGAGTGCAGGTAGAGAGTCAGTCTCTACTCACCGATCCCCTGATAGCACTGCAGTTATCAACCTGGAATCAGACATCAAACTAGAAGGACTATTCATCGAATTCCAGCGAATGTGAAAGACTGGATTCAGAAGACACTTAAAGTTATTTTAAAGTTGAATAGGGGCATCCTCCCAGGTTTCCTGGCCAATATTCTTTGCAAAATCAACATCAATTAAAAGCAGAATATCACAACAAAATCATATCGCTGCTGCCCTTCCGACATTACAACAGTGACAATGCACAAATTTGATTGGTTGTAAATCTTTGTGGGATGTCCTTAGGTCATGAAAGGTGTTATATAAGTGATTTTCTTTTGTTTGGAAGTTTTAGCACATTCCCCAGGGCTGGCATTTTTACAGAGTTGTCTGTGACCCTTCAAGGTTCTGTGGCTCTTCCAAGTTTAGCAGCTGGGAATGATTCTGACAGTATTGACGGCTCTCCATTTAAAGATGGTAGCAGCAATCACAATTGCTGACAACCAGTGATGCATATAGTGCCACTGGAACCACTCAATAAATTGTGTTGCACCATCTTTCTTCCTGCACTCAATTCCTGAAAGTCTTGGGTCATCACAGCACCGTAGCCTTAGGAGAGGTGCAGATGCATAGTTCATTGCAGACATTCAAAAGTTGCAGTGGAAGTCATGCTGTTCAATCTCTAGCTTTGTGAAGATGTCACCTTTCCACCCACTTCACCATTGAAATATGTTGAACAGTGTGAAGTTACTGTACTTAAATGATGGACATGAAATAAACCTGATACGAAAGTCTGAGTAACCTTGTCACAACATTATAAGTATTAGTTACAGACAAGCAATCTCATCAATATCAGATGTTAACATTGAGAATTTTGGAGTCTCATTCCTTCGGCAATGAATTGTTGTTAGAAATTTTAAAAATGTTTGATGCACCTTCAACATTCATCACACCAAAAATTTACGTGTGCAAAAATAACTAACCAAAGGTAGGTACTGTTTGATGACCTGGCACAAAATATCCTTGATCGGTGAATTTTCTCATGCACTTCCACAGACAATAACAGATTTCTAACAGTTCCCCACAAGTACCATGGAATGCATTCCTAGAGGTTGGTCAGTGGTGTTACCATGCCATCAAACAGCCTCTTCTTCCCATCTTTGACATCTTCATAATTGTCATGGATAGAATTTGTTTTGTTTTAATAGCACGTGATCAATATATTTGTATATGTGATGTAAGGTGTGATTTTTTATAAAAATAAATATCATTTATTGCAAGTTTGGGTTCTTAGATTCTAGCATGGGTTTTCTGTGTGTCTGAAGTTAGTTGTTAATGTAAGTATTTCTGTAACCATGGTGATTTTTTTAAACAGTTTTGGAGGCTTAGCTTTAGAATGAATAGCTTCTTTGTGTATGGTTTTATGACCACATGAGGTAAACAAGGTCCAGCTTTGAAGATCAGGTGAGTTTTCCTTAAAGCTTGGGAGAAATAACTATAGCTTAGTGCTTTTCTTTAGTTTTACTTTGAGTTTTGAGCAGTCCTGTGAAGTCCTTGGATCAAGATAGCTGTATAGATCAGTGCTCCTGAGAAAGGAAGGTGTAATGAAACTAGATTACCTTAGAGTAAAGAGTTAGTATTAGTCCCAGATCAGAAATGTTGGGATAAAACTCTGAAAAGTTTACTTCAAGCTGAGTACGATCATGCTCAAGTATGTAATAGCTCTAGGAGGAATCCACCTGTAGATGTAACCTATTTGGACTTCAGCAAGACTTTTGATAAAATTCTGCTTGGGAAGCTTGATAGGAAAAGTAAGAGCCCACAGGATCCAAAGAAATTTGGCGAATTGAATCAATAATGGGCTGAGGGCAGGAAGCAGATGGTGAAGGTTGAGAGGTATTTTTCTGACTGGAAGCCTGTGTCCATTGGGGTGCCACAGAGATCTTGCTGTTTGTGGTTTATATAGATGAGTTAGACTTGAATGTAGGAGGGTTGATCAGTAAGTTTGCAGATAACCCAAAAATTGGTGGGGTGGTAAATAGGAGGAGGATAGCCTCAAATAAGAGGATATAGATGGGCCAATCAGAGGCAAATGGAATCAATCCAGATATGTGTGTGGTGGTGCACTTGGGCAGGAGAAATAAAGGAGAAATGAATGGTAGGATCCTGAGAAGCACAGAAGATTAGGGGGGACCTTGGCATGCAAGCATATTGGTCCCTTAAGGTATCGGGACAAGTGGATAAAGTAGTTAAGGCTGCATATGATACTTGCCTTGATTAGTCAGGGCACAGAGTTTAAGGGCAGGGAGGTTATGCTTGAACTGTATAAAATGTTGCTTAGGCCACAACTAGAGTATTGTGCGCAATTCTGGAATCCAAGTTATAGGAGGGATGTGATAGCACTGGAGAGGATGCAGAGGTGATGCAGCAAGATGTTGCCTGGGCTGGAGAGTTTCACTTATGAAGAGAGATTGGAGAGACTGGGGTGGCTTTCCTTGGAGCAGAGGAGGCGGAGGGAGGACATGATTGAGATGTATAAGGTTATAAGGGGCATAGACAGGAAGAAACTTTTCCCGTTGTTGGAGGAATCAATGAGCAGGGGGCATAGATTTAAGGGGCAGAAGGTTTAGAGGGGATGTGAGGGAAAACTGAGAATCTGGAATCGGGAATCACTGCCTGTGAGGGTGATAGAGGCAGAAACCCTTATAACATTTATAGAGTATTTAGATGTGGACTTACAATACCAAGGCATACCAGGTATGGGTCAAGTGCTCGAAAATGGGATTGGAATAGTTATGTGCTTGTTTTCAGTCTGCACATACCTAATGGGCTGAAGGGCTCTTTTCTGTGCTGTAGATTTCAATGACTTTATGACAATATCTTATACTAACTGCAGCCTCCCACTTATCATAATATTCTGTACTCACTGGAATCCTGTCCCTAAGGGCATTATGGGTCAACCTACAGCATGTAGACTGCAGCAGTTCAAGAAGGCAGCTCACCACCACCTTCTCGAGGGCAGTTAGGAACATGCAATAAATGCTGGCCCAGCCAGCGACACCCACATCCCATTAGTGAACAAAAAAAAACTAGTCTCCTATTCATCACAATGCCCTGCATTGACTGCAAACTTTCACAGAACACAATACCCTATTGGCCCCATTTTCCACAATACCCTGTACTAACTAGTGTCCCATTTGACACAATACCCTGTGCTGACTACAATCTCCTGTTTATTATAAAACCCTGTTCTAGCCTCCATTTACTACAATACTCAATGCTAACTATGTTGCCCATTTGATCCTTGGTGACTGTATTTTTACATACTGCAGTGTTCATGCTAGTTGCATTCTTCTTTACTGTC